GAAGGTTATAATGTTGTATGATGAAGGTTATAGTGTTGTATGATGTTGGTTATAGTGTTGTATGATGTTGGTTATAGTGTTGTATGATGTTGGTTATAGTGTTGTATGATGTTGGTTATAGTGTCGTATGATGTTGGTTATAGTGCTACATGATGTTGGTTATAGTGTTGCATGATGTTGGTTATAGTGTTGTATGATATTGGTTATAGTGTTGTATGATTTGGTCATAGTGTTGCATGATGTTGGTTATAATGTTGCATGATGTTGGTTATAGTGTGGCATGATGATGGTTATAGTGATGTATGATTTTGGTTATAGTGCTGTATGATGTTGGTTGTATTGTTGTATGATGTTGGTTATTGTGTTGCATGATGAAGGTTATAGTGTTGTATGATGTTTGTTATAGTTGTGCATGATGTTGTTTATAGTGTTGTATGATGTTGGCTATAGTGTTGCATGATGTTGGTTATAGTGTTGCATGATGTTGGTTATAGTGTTGTATGATGTTGGTTATAGTGTCGTATGATGTTGGTTATAGTGCTGCATGATGTTGGTTATAGTCTTGTATGATGTTGGTTATAATGTTGCATAATCTTGGTTATATTGTTGTATGATGTTGGTTATAGTGTTCCATGATGTTGGTTATAGTGTTGCATAATGTTGGTTATAATGTTGCATAATGTTGGTTAAAGTGTTGTATGATGTTGGTTATAGTGTTGCATAATGTTGGTTAAAGTGTTGTATGATGTTGGTTATAGTGTTGTATGATGTTGGTTATAATGTTGCATAATGTTGGTTAAAGTGTTGTGTGATGTTGGTTATAATGTTGCATAATGTTGGTTAAAGTGTTGTATGATGAAGGTTATAGTGTTGTATGATGTTGGTTATAGTGTTGTATGATGTTGGTTATAGTGTTGCATGATGTTTGTAATAGTGTTGCTTGATGTTGGTTATAGTGTTAACCTGTATTCAAGTAGACATTACGATGATATAGGTTGTAACACCGAGGACACGTTAAAGCGTACGTAAAAGTTTATGAAGGGTTACAATAATTAATAAATCACAAACTGCACGAAGCTCAAATAAAATCCTTCGAGTGCCAGGATCGTTATGAGATGCTACTTAATAATCCATTTTCCTGGATTCTTATATTGTTTTGACTGATGCACAATATTCAGTTTAGAACTTTGGTTTCTAGAATTCATAGTTCTTTCTTTAAATTAATGTATTTCTCTGGACACGTGAGTGTGAAAATGATTGCATCATACATAAATCTTACTCGACGTGTCGGTAAATAAACAAATTTAAAAAGAACAAAAACAAAACAAAAAAAACAAAAACCCCAGAGCTACAAAAGCAATGACGCATTTGGAAAGTGGGAACGGCGCACCTAGTGTTCGTTCAGCACTAAAACCATCAACATTATTAAAACACAACATGCCGATTCCCGCGAACAACATAAATTTGCATGCGCACATAAAATCACTTAAACTCCTACACACGCGTAGGCTTCTACACAGCAGGTCAGTGAATGCTGCTATATTGTCGCTAAATAACAACAACATACATAGATCGGACAAGCATGTGACCATACTTCATCTGGAAACAACTTCAGCCAAGCTACAGAGCCTGACCAGCACATCTTAATGACACTAACGACAAGCGGGAGATATATACATGTACCAGGCGTTATTCTATCACTAAATTAAACAACCAATGCATATATCTCCCGTATACACTCGCGTTTGTAGACATTCATCTCAATGTCTGAGACAGCGGGGGTGTTATCGTCCTGTTAGGGTTAGACGACAAACACTTATATTTTTCAGGAAATTGTTTGCGTCTGTAAGTGTTACAGTGGGTGCTTACCTTTTTCGAGAACACCTGGTGTTATAACTGACTTTTCAGAGATTCAAATCAACCTTCATTACTATTTTACCTTGTGCTCCGTATGATGGTTATCGACTTGAGGATTACAAATGCGGTAAATAAGTTGAATGCCAAATGTATTGTAAGGGCATTACTTCAAGTCTACCGAACGGCAAAAGAAAGACTACCGACGAGTTAATTACTGAATTGAAAAGTTTGTAAAACGTGTTTTCTAGCTTTTAATTTTTCGATGGATAAAGAGATGATTTTGCAACAACATGAACCCACCGTGTTTGAAACATTGTAAATTTGTGCTGAAAAACACCCTATTGGTTTTCTACGTTAAGATATTGTGTTATGTTGTAACATGCTGTCATAGAAGTATGTCTTCAAATTGGTCAATTGAGGAAATGATTTCGCTTTGACAATTCCGGAAAATGTACAGAGGTCTGTGACTTTTGGAAAACGGACACGTTTGAGGAATGCAAGTTCAAAATGAAACGACTTGCTCAAATGAATCAAACTGAATGTCCACAAGAAAAGATTTCACTATTACGCAGCTCCTGAGGCGCGGAACTTATGAATCAAGCCTCGTAAGAAATCGTTGGGTTCTCGTACAGCCTGCAAATCCCTTTCATAAACTTTCTTCTTTTATCACACGCAGTGCCAACAGTTTGACAAGAATCTTGGCCTAGATTACTGAAACCCAAATTCCACAACTCACCACATGTTAACAATTAACACAGGGTCGATTGACATTTTTTAATCAAAGACACTGTGTTGGGCTCTCAAGCTGATGGCACGATCATAGAGTAGACATTGTTATTCTCACAGTGGACCTTGGTCGGGTACAGTTTACACTTATAAAAATAACGGCTTGTCATCAGAGTCACACACTGTTTATGCACATGATATGCATATATAATATTGAAGCGTATGGCAAGGAAAACAGACGACTAATTCCAATATGCTCACCCTCAGGATTATAGGTCAGATTAGATCCTTAGCACTCCATGTTTATAGAACAAACTGACTCAGTGGCGTGGTGTTTAAGAGATTACCCGACTTTAGACCAAGTCGACAGCTGTAGCATTTGTGCTTCCGGCATAAAACAAAATTCATTCACTTGCTTACTTAAACTGAAGTTCAAAAGAAACAATACAATATTTTTATGCTGGCTGATAAAGGAAACAAGCGAGAACTGGTTAATTTATGCAGATTGTTTTGTTTTGTTTTGTTTTTTATACGGTTGTTAAAGTCGATATCATAAAAAAAACTCGACGAGTATCTCAGATGACAGGCACGTATCGTCTCAAGGAACGTGGTGGTCGCAAATTCAAATCCGATTTTCACGGTATAATTTCTTTTTCATCGCAGATAATGTTTTAAGACGAATGGGAGTGATTGAGTTTGTACACTAACAACCCTACAGATAACTAAGAGAAACAGATATGGCACCACTAACTATATCCACCCATCTCATATATTCTAAATGGCATTCTACACAAATGTTTTGGACCCGTAAAGGTTATATTTGATCTTCAGTAACCCATGCTTGTCGTAAGAAGCGACTAACGGGATTGGGTGGTCAGACACACGTCACCGTATCCCAATTGCGAATAGCAATGCTCATGCTGTTGCTCACTGGATTGTTTGGTCCAGACTCGATTATTAGCTTAATATTGATGAGTGCGGCTTTAAACAAACAAACGAACCGAGGTTCGATAAAATGGACATAATGTGCTTTCACCATTGACATTACATGTCATCGTATCCCAATTGCGTAGATCGATGCTCATGCTGTGGATCACTGGATTGTCTTGTCGATTATTTACACACCGCCACCACATAGCTGGAATATTACTGAGTGCGGCGTAAAATCAACTAAACTCACTCGCTCACTCACATTCGTTTTGGTTGTGATGTTACCTACTTACACTGAAGGATATCGCAGTCGATTATCCTGTTCCAATGTAATTCTTGTGTGTGACTGCCTAGCACCTATCCCTATGCTTCTTTGTGTCATACGATGAGCAAAAGTATTTGTGTTTATCTGGAAGTATAGCATACAGTGTTCTTTCATTTTCATCATGTATAAGTAGCTTTTAAATTTAACAAAATGATATTAACCTTACCCGGATATACGATACATTTGAATTTAACAAGTATCTTAGAGGTTATATGAACTAAAACTATTTTATTCATTATATTCTGTAGTCTCCGGAGTCATAATTACATGCGCTAGCTCAAAGTGACGTTTTCAGATATTACAATTACCAGGCGTGTGTATCGCCACTCGTTAGTTCATCTATAAATGCACCCACACACAATGCAAAACAAAGTCAATAATATATTTTTGAAACTAAACTAATTTAAGTATTCTAACAAGGAAAACCTTTTTAATTCTGTAAATACTTACCGGTTGAGACGCCACAAGCTGTCAACTACGTGATTGCTGGGGAAGTCATGCTTTACAATATTGACTATTTATTTCTGTCGCCGTGTCTGAAATGTTCTCAATGAGCATCATGCTTACCATAGATACCTTGCTGTAAACACTGTCTATACTGAGATGTCAACATGTCCCGGAAGGTGCAACGATGCATTGTCAGGCAACACCTGGCGCAAACACAGGATAGGTTTTGCAAGACAATCTGTTCCTCCAGTTGACATGGTTGTCAAACTATCTGCCAGACTCCTACTGGATTCTAATGGATGTATATTAGGTGCACGGAAATTTGCATATATGTTAATGTTGTTCTCTTTGATAAGAAAATAAGGTTTAAGTATTTGTCGTATACGTATCATGTGTAATAAGGGATAATGGCTGTTAGGGACAGTGAGAGACAGGGTGACTTTTAGGGAAAATGAGAGAAAATGTGACTGCGAGGGACATCGAGAGAAGAGTGACTGCGAGGGTCATCGAGAGAAGAGTCACACCATCACACCAATACACCATCACACCCTCACACCAATACACGATCACACCATCACACTAATACACCAATCAATAGAACACGATCACCCCATCACATCATCACACCTATACACACCCACATCATCACACCAATACACGATAACACCATCACACCAATACACCATCACACCTATACACACCCACATCATCACACCAATACACGATCACACCATCACACCAATACACCATCACACCTATACACGATCACACCATCACATCACACAACCACACATCACACCTATACACACCCACATCATCACACCATCACACACACCATCACACCAATATACATCACACCATCACACCAATACACGATCACACCATCACACCAATACACGATCACACCATCACACCAATACACGATCACACCATCACACCAATAAACGATCACACCAATGCACCATCACACCATCACACCAATACACCATCACACCTATACACATCCACACAATCACACCAATACACGATCACACCATCACACCAATACACAAATACACCATCACACGATCACACCAATACACGATCACACCATCACACCAATACACGATCACACCAATGCACCATCACACCATCACACCAATACACCATCACACCTATACACACCCACATCATCACACCTATACACACCCACACAATCACACCAATACACGATCACACCACACAATACACAAACGACACACCATCACACGCAATCACACCATCACACCATCACACCAACGATCACACGATCACACCTCACACCAATAAACGATCACACAAATACACCACACACCATCACACCATAACACCATCACACCAATACACGATCACACCACCATCGCACCAATACACGATCACACCAATACGCACCAACACCATCATACCAATACACGATCACACCAATAGATCATCACACCAATACACGATCACACCATCACACGATCACACCAATACACGATCACACCATCACACCAATACACGATCACACCAATACACGATCACACAATCACACCAATACACGATCACATCACAATCACACCAATACACGATCACACAATCACACCAATACACGATCACACCATCACACCAATACACGATCACACAATCACACCAATACACGATCACACCATCACACCAATACACCATCACACAATCACACCAATCACACCATCACACCAATACACCATCACACCAATACACCATCACACAATCACACCAATACACCATCACACCAATACACGATCACACCAATACACACCATCACACCTATACACACCCACATCATCACACCAACACAGCATCGCACATGCAGAGGTCATATATATGACACATGTGTCTGTGTATATGTTGGAAGGATCAGGTGTCACCTAACCTTAACAAAGTTTAAGTGAATTGATATTTACCGCTATATATTCCGAACTATGGAGAATGCGAAGACATGCAAAAGAAGACTTCTGGTTCGGCGAGCGTTTGCAGGTAGAAACATGTGCTAAGCCAGACACCCTTCGTCTTCAAGATGACGAATGTCACACATTGCTAGTTGTCCGCCCTCCAGTATCATATCTAACGTGTCGTGAAGACGTCTCCATGACGTAATTACTTCATCTTCACAAGAGGGAATGGCGGCGTGATTGCACGTGTGTCGAAATTTCAATCTTTAATGCATCAGTGACAAAGAGTAATTCCCTTGACTTGTACTATACGTTACTTTTGTAGCTAAACAATTTACAAGCCTTTGTTGATATGGGTCAGGATGCGCTCATCTGTTCGGGAAACCGTGGTATCATCACTATTTTGACAGAAACTCATAAACACCTGCTGGTGACATAGTCGGAATTGTACAATCAACAATGTACAATCTGCTTTCATCAGAGTTTTCTTGTGGAAAGGGTTTTGTCGCTTTTATGCATTGAAATGCTGATGAACATCTTCCAAGATGTAATTTGATGTATGCCCGGGTGAAAAAAACATCTTAAAAAGACATAATACTCCCATCCTGACCCGGATGAAAATGAAAGTCTTCAAATAACTGTGGTTCAATGTTTTTCCGTGTGTGTACAGTTGACATTTTAGACGTATGCACTGCCACTTTAGCTATTTGCTGACGTCAGATGGGAACTCACAGACGATGACAACATAAGCACCTCGAGCAACTTCCATACTTCTCTACATCAGCATCAATCATTGAGAACGAAGGTCACAACACAGTTGGCGACATTTACCAAACCAGGTTCCATGCAATTGTCTTATCGAGAGCACTGTACGTTGTGGACTTTGAGATTTCCACATGAAATGTACTTGTGATATTGTTCAGAGAAAGACCTGTTACAAGCTGGGATAACAAAGGGAAATGTGACTATGTTGCGTCACCACCTATATAGTTTTAGCCAGAAATACAGCTATAAAACGAAGTATTTATAATCCAACACGCCAGTTACGGTGACAAATCCTTATTTAGTCAACTCTGTAATTATCATAATCTCAAACCTTACTTCCCTACGTATTGACGTAAAATTTAAGTCGTCACATTGGGTACAGTGTGCGAAGCTCATTTCTGGTGTTCCCCCGTCGTGATGTTGCTGGAATATTGCTAAATTCACTCACTACAATTTAAGTAAAATATATCTAAGACGTTTGATAAATTGGTGGGTGGAGATTACAAAAACATCAGGAAAGATGTAACAATAAGAAGTTTTTCATAACATCTTCAGCAACGAAAGTCATTTCAACAACCAGGTCTTTTAAAACACAACAACATGTCCATGACCGTATTGGAGATTTCTAAAAAAAGGTATTTTGATAAACAATACTCTAACGTGTCTATTTCTTTGTGTCACTACGCGATACAGACTATGCGTAAATATTTGAACTCGGTGACGGAGAAGCTACCTCATAGCATGGTCAGCTAGTCACGTGATTGACAATACCACAAAAGCAGGTGACAAGCAAACTATTGTTTTGTACCTTGTGTGCCATTGACATTTGACCTTGTCCAGGTTGCTTCGCATGCGTGCATGCTTGTGTCATTCTGTCAAGATTAATCAAATGGCTTAGTCTCGAAAAGGTTTCGTTAATGTTTTCGTTTGTCTCTGATTGTAACGACACCATTTTGTTTTTCTGTAACGTAACCTTATTGGCCATTTTGTCACAACTGTTTAAATGTTAGCTTATGCTGATTTCCAGGCTTTTGAACTTTGCGAACCTATGAACATGCTTTGGTCTTAGACATAAGCTGGTATCCACATTTTGATGTGGGACATTTGCATCCGAACCATCACAAAGATTGGAATCCATCCTCAGAACATGGTATGATCCCGAAAACAAACTATTTGTAAATGTATATCTCAGATACGATCACTTGTGTATCCATGATTCCAAATCCAAACCTCTTCAAAACCTATATGTTTACTAAACTCCGAGATTCGTTTACATGTATTTGCTCGATTCATTTATAATCGTAATGTTTTGACATCTGTATCCACGGGCTACTGCATTGAGACCAGGGGTCTGAGGATGGGCTTATAGCCCTGAGATGGCTCTAAGATGATATGTTGTACCTTTTGTACTGTATTTACTTCTCACATTTGTCATCCTAAAACCTAAAGCCTGAACATTAGCACTTCTGTGTTCGTTATTTAGACTAATCAAAAACAGATTTCTGTTGACGCGGAAACACATCGAAAAAACAGAAACTTAATGTTCTGTTCTTTCGGGGTCATTTTCAACTTGTAAAGGCAGAGTAACTTCACATGCTGATGCTTTATTTGTAAACGTTTTACACATATCACTAATTCAGCAGCGACGTTTGAATAAGTGTAGGTGTGTGAGTGTGAACCTACCTTTCCCACGCCATAAGTCCCAGAGAAGCGGTGACTCACACGCTCCGGAAATATGTGACCAGACTACGAACATATGAGACGTACCCAACTTGCACCTCTTTCTGCTGTCGGTTACTCATGTCGGCTACCCAGTAAAGTGAGCGAGCGAGTGAATAAGTCAGGCAGCGAGGCAGTGAGTCAGTCAATGAGTGAATGATTGAGTCAGTCAGTCAATGAATGAATCAGTCAGTCAGTGGAATTGATCGCTAACAGTGAAACCCACGAGCAAAAGTATGGTTCTAGGTTCTAAAACACCCACAACGTAATGAGGGCAGACCGAGACTCGAACCCGCAAACAGTCATAGCTTAAGACTTTATCTTTATTAGATTAAACCTGTGCACAATTACTCACTTCATTCCTTCACCTCATTCAGCACACAACTATCAAGGCTAAATAATGTCTGAACAGATGGAAGCTGTCATCCTGGTATTTTACCACTTTATGACAGAAATTAAACATACAATAAGATCAACATTTATGTGTTGAAATTGATGTTTACTTATCTCAACTAAATATGTTGCTGCAAGCCCACTGAATCGTTACGTGTATGTTTTCACACGATAACTGTTTGAAAACATTTAAATCTCATGGAAAAAAGAAGTTTAAGTATTTCTCTGGACATGTCAAAGCTAAAGAATTCATTTTGTTTTTACAACAAGGCACATGCCATGAATTACTGATGGTGTGAATAAGCACGTGCAACTAAACGTATTGATATACCTGTTTGCACCAAGTATTAAATTAACACTTGTAAGCACACACGCCTACCATCACGTCCAAAACGTGGGGATAGCTTCCAGCAAATCAGAATACCTTGTGATGATTTGTCGCCCCTACTTTCAACACTTTATGAACTAAATAGGGAACACACTTCAAGTTATCGTGGTATGGTAAACTTGCAAATTGTTCTGAAGATCGTTACCTTCTTCTCCAAATCAAACAACCTAAGTTTGACTTTGTCATCGGTAGAGGACTGTAAAATTCATGAAATGTTACTGTTTATTATGAAAGCAGTCATCGTGGAGAAGCGCCACTGAATCCGGTTAAAATGTGCGGATTCCAAACCTTGGCATTCAGATAAATATGTCTTTTTTAATATCCACGGATGTTGATTCCGCATGACCTTGTGTGACCTTGTTCTCCAGGTCGTAGCCATAACTCGGAACTGGTTGTGATTAAACAACTCCATGTCCTGTTCATCTGGCTAATTGTCTTAGCTCAAGTTTTGAACGAGATCCATGACCTTGTTAATTGTTGGCATTCGAGCAATACTTTGAATTGTGGGTAATGAAGAGTCGTTGTGTCCACAGCGGATCAATGGCCTCCTACGTCGGAACAGCATGTGTCATCTACATGACTATGTCGCTTCGTTTCTATCTATGTACTCGACTGTTTAGAAATATGTATAAACACATTTTGATTATTCATTTATTGTGCTAATGGTACAACTATGGAAGGTAACCTGGCTTGCCTGCTGTATACTCATATAATGATGTGTTAAACACGTATCAAAACATTAGCAGCATATTTACTATCAAGAAATATCTACTTGTGTCGTATCTTCCTTCATGAGCGAGTTCTTATAGGTGAGTGAGTGAGTATAGTTTTACGCCGCTTTTAACAATATTCCAGCAATATCACGGCGGGGGGACACCAGAAATGAGCTTCACACATTGTGCCCATGTGGGGATTCGAACTCAGGTCTTCGGAGTGACGACCCGTGAAGATCCGGGTTTGAATGGATCTTCAGTAACCCATGCTTGCCGTAAGAGGCGACAAACGGGATCGGGTGGTCAGGATCGCTGACTTGGTTGACACATGTCATCGGTTCCCAATTGCGCAGATCGATGCTCATGATTTTGATCACTGGATTGTCTGGTCCAGACTCGATTATATACAGACCGCCATATAGCTGAAATATTGCTGAGTGCGGCGTAAAACTAAACTCACTCACTCACTTCGGCGTGACTAGCGAACGCTTTAACCACTAGGCTACCCCACCGCCACCGGGAGAGTTGTGTCCCTTAATGATTTGCTAAAACAACGAAAGGAAGCAAGACGAAATGTCACAGTCTCTGACTTCACTGACTTCAGTACTCCACTTTCGTTTTGCCTTTCGGGGCGGTGGGGTAGCCTAGCGGTTAAAGCGTTGGCTCGTCACGCCGAAGACCTGGGTTCGAATCCTCACATGGGTACAATGTGTGAAGCCCATTTCTGGTGTTGCCCCCCGTGATATTGCTGGAATATTGCTAAAAGTGGCGTAAAACCAAACTCAGTCAGTTTTGCCTTTCTGTTTCACCGGATAATCGAGACTGCCTGACCTCTTGGTGAATGTTATATTAGTATACTTTGGTTTTACAGGACAGTAGGTATGATAAAAGAAGCCGAATCATATTCAGCTAGCACATGTATATGTTTGTTTGAGGTTTAACGCAGCACATGGCTTCTGCATGATGGAGTCCGGACAAGTCAGACCAGTGATCGATATTATCTTAAACATCCCACTCCGTCCGGGTATGAGGGCACACAATCACCCACAGTCAGCCTGACCACCTATATACTCGTCTAATACAAACAAGCACAGAACTTGACCAGGTCTCCCTCCCGATGGGGTTCTTCCATTTAACAGGCAGTTTGATATGTACAATGGAAATCCAGAACAGAGGGCCTATTAGCAATCATACAGCTAATCCATATTTTCCTCTTCACATTTCTACCAATTTATTTTTCCATTTTGTTGATTAACCTTGTTTCTCGTATAAAAAAGGACACATACAGCTGTAAATAGAACTTGTTTCGTATTTTTTCATCCAAGGTTAAAACCTTTCAAAGGCAATTTTTCGATCAAATCTTCGTTTGTCTTGATAAACATTTACCCAATTGAACCATGTTCAACAAACACTAATAACCTTTGCAAGCTGGTCATTGAATGGGCTTTGTTTTGTTGAAACTGACCACACGTAGACGGTCAAGGTAGAAAGCATGTGGTCGTTATGTATTTGAGTAACAGAAATGTAAACATCATCGCTGAACATGTTTCTGCTAAAATTGATAATGTCTGATCTTCAACGCAGGTTGGCCATGAATCGTAAATGGCGTTGGGAGCAGCAATGTTAGCTATCCTGTCATGTGTTTGTAAACTTGCACTTTTCGTTGACTTTCGACGATCACCTTGATTAGCTATTGATTACAGAACCTATTTAAGTATTTAAACTGTCTAATGATACAAACTCTTCCACTAGATGCCATCGCTAACAAAAGAAACATGCTCTGTTATATTTGTGCTTCAGTCAGAGTAGAAGGTATTTGTATATGCTGCCTATATACGGTCATATTAGTAGAATGGTTAGCTTTCACAAGATTATTCTTTTCTGTTTACATTTACTATAATGGTAGAGGAAATGATCACTTGAGATTAATCCTATTGTTCCTTCCTTTATTTCAATCTTCAATGAAACCTCTATTATGATTGAACAGAGTCTAATTTAAGAAATATCACACGAGGCTGAATTTATTTTAAAAAGTTTGCATTTTCCAGCTTGTATGCAAATGAAATGTGTGTATTGAAACAAACATACACTTACTTTTTATATGCATTGCAAAATAATTACTCCTAATAACAATCGAATTATTTTTTAGTTCAGGTCTAACTTTAAGAATAACTCTTTTGTTGAAACAAAGGTTGCCAAGTTGAACGAAGAGATGCTTTGCCAAGCAATGTGGTTTGAGAGAAAACACCCTACATAATCGGATGCTTTAATAGTTTGAACTACTCAGCCCAATGAATACTGTTATCATGTTGGTATGGTATGTTACCTGTTTAGTAATTATATTTGCAATTTCCCCTTCAGAATCTATTGTAGTCTTCTCTTTCTGTCGCAAGAATTTTATCTCCTACGTGTGCACAGTTCCTGTTTAAGCAGGCAGCAAATACGAAAACAAGTAGCTCACGAAACAATATTGATTGGACAAAACCTCCTAATTGTTTGTGAATTGTTCGCGGTCTCTAAATCTAGTTGTCCAAGCGGTCACTGCCAGATGCTATTTAGACGTTCTCACGGTGTTAACCTTGGCAATGACATTAACATCAGTGATCACATTCCGAAAGGTCTTGACCACTCATTGTCATGTACTTAGTGTCCAGAGAACTGGTCAATGTAAAGTTAAAAATATATATACCAATAATATACATTATGGCAAGACTATGTTGAGTCCTACTTATACTAAATTTGTTTAGACATGTACACATATGCCTGAAGTTATGTCACTACGTGGTAACCTACGCCTGAAATGGTGCGTGCACATGTAGGTA